CCTCAGCCTCCCAAAGGCACGGGATTACAGACTGAGCCACCGAGCCCGGCTCTAATTTTTTATTTAATGTAGAGATGAAGTCTCGCCAAGTTGCCTGGCTGGGTCTTGAACCTGTGGGCTCAGGCAGTCCACTCACCTCGGCCTCCCAAAGTGCTGGGATTACAGGCTGAGCCACCAAGCCCGGCCCGTGATAACCACTTTTAAAAGTGTGGTGCATCTCTAGACTAGGGCCACGCCTGGGCCTTGGTACCTCTCCCTCATGCTCCCCTCCCCCACTTGCCACCTGTACCACCCAATGTAGCTTACTACTGGGATGTTGTCTAGGCAGGTCACACGGAGTCCTGGAGAACTGGCGAGATGCTTGGGTACTTAATTCCATCCTCCATCGGATTCTCTCAGAAATGCAGAGTGGAAAAAGAAAAAATGTGTCTGAAATACAAAACCAAAAATGAGTTTAAATTATGAGTGATTGCACATTAGGGTAGTGGCCATTGTTCACCATTAGGGTCAAGTCACCTGCTCTCTCTGTGCTCCAGGTGAGCACACTTTGAGATCTGCTCTTTGCTATCTCTGGTGGGTCTTTTTGCAAGTTCGTTTTCTGTACACATTCCTTTCAATTCTACATTTGGCTTTTTTTTTTTGTCAAAGGTTGCAAAACTTCCTCAAGTTGTCCAACAGCAAACACCTGTGGCCAGCATCCAGCAGGTTGCCTCCGCCTCTCAACAGGTAGGACATGGGAATCATGGTGACCTGGATAGTCACTTTCCCAAAGTGTTAATAAACTTCACATTTCCCATATTAGGAGAACCTCTGGCTTTCATCCTGAGGGAGTATAGCTTTAATGGCTAGAGAATCATTTTTCATGATCACAGAACACACAAAACACTAACTTGGGGGATGCTAGATACCCTTAATAGTAAGAAAAACACTGAGCAGGTGTGCCCAGTGTCCCCTGAAGGGGCCTTGTCCATGCTCATTTCTGGGGCTGTACCTTCAACCGAGTCTTAGGCGAGACACGGACACTTCAGCGTTGAGACTCGAGGTCAAGCTTGTAACTGCTGGGGACAGTGGTGGCCCCACCTTTCTAACAGAGACCCTTCTGGCACTTCTACTATTTTCATTGATTGCTGCTAAACAAGACTCTAAAATTTTTGTATTTTGTTCAAAGTCACAATGGCATATAGCTTTCAAAAAACAAAATTAATATTAAGAGCTTTACAGCAATAACAGACCCAGCTCCCTGACCAAACTCTGACACTTATCCCCAGAGGCATCTGGTTTTAGTCTAAAAGCAGCAATAGTTTAATTTCAATATGGCCGTTAGTTCTTACCTGTAATGCAAGCATCCTAGCTAGTGACATTTCTCAAGCTCCCTCCCCGTCCCAAGTGTCTGTGGTGCTGACCCGGGGCTGCGCTTTCAGGGCAACGTGTGTTTTCTGACTCTCTTGTCTCAGGCTTCTCCACAGACCGTCACGCTCACGCAGGCAACCGCAGCAGGGCAGCAGGTACAGATGATACCTGCGGTGACTGCCACAGCCCAGGTGGTGCAGCAGAAACTCATCCAACAGCAGGTGGTGACTACAGCGTCGACCCCGCTCCAGACCCCAGGTGTTCCCAACCCAGCCCAGGGGCCAGCCAACTCTGATAGCCCAAACCAGCAGCCCAAGTTACAGATGAGGGTCCCTGCTGTCAGGCTGAAGACGCCCACCAAGCCTCCGTGCCAATAGTCAGGAGAGCAGGGACAGCCTCTCGCCTGAAGCAAAGCCACCCTCCTCCCTGGAAATACTTCGTTTACTTTTGAAGCAAGGGACGATGTCATGTGAGATATTCAGCACTCGGAAAGCTGCGATTGAAGCAGCAGTGTAACCACTTTAATAAAATGCATCCTACACTGCAGGGCGGGCAATCTGTGTGCACCGACCCTCTTCTCTATCATGTGGCTCATCAAGAAAGTGACTGTGCAGTTTTTTTGAAATCATCACACCTTGTGGGTCATCCTCTAGAACAGTGGTACTAAGCCTTGAAAGCCATCTAGAATTTCCTTGTCAGTGTACAGTGCTGTGCACACCATTGAAGCCTTTTGCCATATGCACTGAGCATGCCGCAGACTTTCTAGAGCCAGAGCGTGGGCTTGGGTGGGCTGTCCCGTTGTTGACTCTTTATGCCAAACTGAAAATGTGTCACGGCCCTGAGAGAGGAGGAAGCCCATCTAAAGGAAACCATCAGAGATCGGTTGTTCACTCCACAGAAACCCAATGTAGCTTTCTCCTTCCCTCCTAGTATGTGCTTTGTTTAAACGTGCAAGGGAAGTGGTCATCTAAAACCTTCCCAGCTTGTGTTCAAGGGAAGTGACTTATTATTGAACTTTCATTCCAAAGAGTAGCTGGTGTGGCCTCTCCGACCCTTGCCCCCCTGTCTGATTTGCTTTCATTTTAAGTAAACTGCTGGGACTGGTGCCTGTCTCAGTGCATTCATGATGCATTCCTGGCTTTTGGATAAAGCTGGTACTTGGGCTTAGTGTGCTAAGCGGCTCCCAGGAATCTTTGCGGCACTTTGGCCATGGGCTGGTGTGAGGTCCAGAGGCTCATGCCATGGCTGTGGCAGTACAGATGTCACAGTTGAGTGTGTGGAGAGGTGCAGGCTCAGTAAGCTGGGATTCGTTTCAGAGACACCCCCTTGCTGCCGTAACTAGTCCTGGCTTGACTGGGAGAGTTAGGAAACTTTGTATAAGGTAATTTGTTCATGAACCTGAAGTATTGACCACAGCAGTGGATGCAGTCAGCTCTTCTCGTAGACTTGTGGCGTTGATTTCTTCTTGGACAGATTCGCTTGTGTGGTTCTGCCCATCAAGCAGAGCACCATCACGCTGTTGGAAGAAGGTGTGCTGTTTGGGGGGGAAAGGAGCCCGGTGTTTGCTACTGTTTTCGTGTTTTTACTATAGCAAGATAATCCATGCAGTTTGAGTGGGCTTAGCGGGCTTAGCTGGCTGATGATGCCTCCTCGCTGTGACATTGTCATCACAACATGAAGGAACATGTCCAGCAGCACCTCAGTGCCATGTCTCCATGTTTGTTTGTTTCACACTATTTGGGCCAGGAGGTTAGGTTATGTCAGGTTTGTGTATGTTACATGTCAGTTATGCTGGTAAAGATCATCAGTTTAATAGCCGGGCTTGGTAGCACGGCTACTTGGAAGACTGAGGTGGAAGGATCGCAGGAACCCAGCAGATCTAGGTTGCAGTGGCCAGGAGCGTGCCACTACCCTCCAGCCTGGGTGACAGAGTGAGACTCCAACTCAAAAAAAAAAAAAAAGATTGTCAGTTTATGATTGGGCCTCATCGCCTCCTGCGCCTTCTCTCACCTGATGCGACTTTTGAAGGAGTTCTCCCTGCAGCTTGTGTGGATGGTGATGTGGTGAGACTCGTTTGTGAGCTTTTGCCAAGAACTTTGGAAAACAGTGAAAAGTATTGAAAGGCAGAAGGGGTTTAGCATTTCAGTTCATTGAACATGTTAAGCACAGTATTACAAGCCAGCCCATCCATTCTGGTCTGGCGTGGCTGTGATGAACGCACACGCTCAGGAGGGCTGCGTGTGGGTGCTTTGCGTCTGGCTTCCAGTGATGTGTTATACTCCTTCTTACTCTCAGATGTGCAGAGCTGAAGTATGTAGGAGTCCTCCCTTGTGAGCTTGTTTTAATTTGTGCACCCTGTTCATTTTTCCTTGTCCTCCCCAAAACATTGGTAGTCTTCTTTTTTAGATTATGGTAAAATGTTGAGTGCACTTGTTTTAGAATATCGTAACCGTAATTGTCTAAAGAAAAGCCTTCTATTAGTCTAATACACTGGGAGAGAATTTAGGAACAACTCTCAAAAGCTTTTAAGAAAGCAGAACCCAGGGCTCTGAATATCTGCAGGATGGAGTTCCTGCCCCAGTCTCATCATGTGAGTGGAAGAGTCTGTCTCTGAAGTGTGTTGTTTTTTTTTTTTTGCTGTTCCCTTATATGAATTATGGACGGGAGGTGTTTTGTCTTGTATCCCTCAGTTTAGTCACGTCTAGAGGTACCACTGGTCTAAGTAGTATTAGCTACAGCTGCTTAAATACAAATTCTCTTTCCAGTAAGTATTGTTTCCTTGGCCTTCCATCTTAAAAGTCTAAACTTTCTAATTTAAGAATTGAATATATGTTCAGGCAGCTTCATCTAGGCCTCCTTGCAAGTCAGGGTTCATACCAATGCGACATGTGACAAGCCAGAACCTTCCAGAACTTGGCATGTCAAGGCAGCAGCCACAGCTCTGTCGGGTTCTCCCTGGCTGCTCTGAAAACAGCCACTGGTCGTTCTTTAAACGAGAGATGTTTATTCTGATGAAAACCAGGCTGTCTTCAAGCATCCAGAGGAAGCAGAAGGCTGGAACCAAGCCCTGTTCGGATTTGGTGCGTGGTCAGGTGGGAGTTTTCCTATTTACAGTCTTTATTTAATTATTTCTGTTAAGTGTTGTAACCAGATAGCTGTTGTGTTTTAAAGTATAAAGAACAACTCAGTGGCTCAGCCTTTAATCCCAGCACTTTGGGAGGCTGAGGCGAGTGGACTGCCTGAGTCTGCGGGTTTGAGACCAGCCTGGGCAATTGGTGAGACCTCATCTCTACAATAAATCAAAAATTAGCCAGGCATGGGAGCGCGCACCTGTAGTTCCAGCTACTTGGAAGGCGGAGACAGAAGGATCATCAGAGCCCAGCAGGTCGACGCTGGGTTGGCCGTGAATGTGCCACTACACTCCAGTCTGGGCGACACAGTGAGACTCAGAACTCAAAAATAAAAATAAAATGAAGGAGGATTTTAAAAAATAAAATAAATATAAAGAACAAGACTGAAATTGTAAATATTTTGTAAACATAAACGTTTGTACTTGAACAGTAGGAGGCCTCTTAAAGGGAACTGATATCCTACCAAACAAAAGGCATAATAAAGTGACCTTTTTAATATATTTTTTGTTTTGTCTTTCATAGAAATCTAGCCTTTGAGTTAAAACTAAGCTGCTAGTTGTGTTTTCCTTTTGGCCAAGAGCTTCCCTCCTCGCCCTCTCCCCAGCGGCTGTGGAGGGGACTGGAAGGAACGAGCTGCTCGGAGGTTCTCCGTGAAATCCACCTGGACAGAGTCTACCTGGCAGCTGCTTTCCACAGCTGCACATGGAGGAAGGAGCCAGTGCCGCCCTGCCCTGCGTGACCTACCGGCCCAGCGCCCATGTATGTCCTGGAGGGTTATGTGGGCATCCAGCATCCTTCCAGACTTGTCCCCGTGCCTGAGGATGGGTGGGGGACACCTCCTGCTCTCAGGTGTCTCCACGGAAGAAGACGCCTTTCTGCAGATGGCCTGGGAGTCCATCCTTTCATTTTTCTCTTTTGGAGTTCTCTTCCTTTTGATGAAAAGAAAAGGTTTCGGATTATTAAAAATACCGCATGCTTTTAATAAAAGAAGTACACATTATGCATAGTAAAGAAGCTCCCTAGCAGTCCATAGTTCATTTCGTATATTTTCTTCCACCAAAAAATGTGGGTGCCAGGGCACATGCCACTGCTGTGGGCTTCCAGATGTGAGAGGTCCATGCTTTTATGTGTATACCGGGTCTGCAGGTGTTAGTGTAGACCACAGAAAGGGAGATCCTGCAGATGTGAGATGCCCAGGCTTTCGTGTGCATACTGGGATCTGCAGGTGGTAGTGCAGTCACAGAGAGTTGGCCAGGTGGGTGGGGAGGCCAGGCAGTAGAGCCCAGGCTAATGCCTGGTGCTTGAGGACAGGTGCTTCCTGGCCCCTGGGCTTGGGCTCTGGTGCTGTTGACCTGCAGCTCCATGCCTTAGATGCCCCTGTCCTCAGGTGGCCGGAGGCTCCTGTCAGGTAATGTTTGCAAAGCACTCAGCATCAGTGCTGCACTTAGTGGTGGTTTATTCTCGATGGAGAAGACCATGTGAGTTTCACAGAGTCCTGACCCTGCTGTTAAATCTTGGCCGAGTGTGCCTGTACAACAGGCCCAGGCTGGGCTTATCTGGCCCTGAGGCAGTGTTTCTGTGTACATTCCAGTGGAGACCGTGGGCTGGTGGCACCAAGGTGAATACGAGTGTATTCACCATCACCTCCAAGGAGTCACCTCCAGAGCATCTCCTGCTTCGATATCAGATCACGTGACAGCTGCCGCCAGCACCCTCTCTCAGGCCCCAGGCTTGAGGGTTTTGACCCGGGCGAGGGGAAAGAAGAGGGAACCTCCTTTGCTATGGGGTGCATCATCTACAACTCAAAGCCAATTTGATAGCCACACATACAGAGGAACGGAGCAACCAAGGCCAGATGGTTGGTTGCAGGATCTCCTGCAGGATCGTGATGTGCAGGTCCGCTTGTGTCGTGTGTGGCCAGGATGGAGCACCTTGTAAGCCTGGCTATGCATAGAGTATTCTGAGGTGCAGCTGGCCCTCTGGCTGTGGGTTCTTTGTCCGTGGCCACAAGCAACCGTGGATCCAAAATATCTGGAAAAAACAGTGTCGGTACTGAACGTGTGCAGATATTTTTCTCCTGTAGCAGCTGTTCACGTGGTGTTTACATGGCATTGGATGTTACTTGCCATCTAGAGATGATGCATTGAGGATGCGTGTGCGTAGGCTAATTGCAGATTTTTATATCGGGCTCAAGCATCCTTGGATTTCGATGTCACAGGTCGTGAGGACAAGGGCGTTAGCGGCCGCTGTCTCTGGGGCGGGGAACAAGGCTGGGAGCAAGACATGCGCTCTCTGCAGGGTTTCGCACCGTCTTACCGGTTCAACAGGACACGCGGGAGAAAGCCACCGGAAATCGCTCCAGGTGGCCCAGGGCTCGGGCGGGAAGCGGCCTGCTGCCCGTGAGCGTTCGCCCGGCCTCAAGGACACACGGGAAGCCGAGGCGCGCTGGGCCGCC